TGTTGTGTTCCCTGTCAGGGTGGTCATTGGTGATAGCCAGGCACCATCTAGTTCTTCTGGTCTCAGGCTGATGGAGTCTCTGGTTTATGTGGCCCATTCTATCTCTTGGGCTAATACTTTCCTTGCGTCTTTGGTGTTCTTCGTTCTTGAAAGGAGAAATAATTTTTGAGAATTAGTTTTCAATGTTTTCTCAAAATTGTTGATTTTAGAATGCTAATCTCCCCTCAACATCCCAAGCAGCAAGAGGAGAAAGTCAAAGTCGGGAAAGAGATGGCAAATAGTATCGTCGTGACGGTGATCCTGCAAGTTCTCAAACTAAATATACAAGTTTGAGTCCTAGCAAGAAGAAAAAAAAGAGTTCTGCAAGGCCCAAGTGCTAAAGTGTAAGTCATTTGCATTAAGCATATGCATACCATATTTTTTTTCCTTTGGGTTCTGTCTCTCACCTATAAAATGATCAGTTATAGTAGAAGCACGCTTATCTGCAATACTCACATGACTAATTGAGAATATGTTTAAAATGGGGAGTTATAAAACAAGTATACATACTGCACTAAGCAAGGGGCATGGTGGGTAAATCCCACCTTCATTTCCTGATAAGGATCAGCATGAATCCAATTTCTAAAGTATGGAAATGGATCCAATTCTCACCTTCCCATTTCTCCTCCTTGTCACCGTGCACTCACATGACACACTCTCTCCACTCCAGCCACCCAGAGCTGGAACAGAGCTCACATGTTAGAAGGATGCCTTCTTTCAGACTGCCAAGTAGGCAGATACCAGCCCCTGCTAGCCCTTACTGCCCCTGTGTGCTTGTTAATTTGCTGGAACGACTTACAGAATTCATGGAGAATACACTATATTTACAGCTACAAGACTTACTACAACCAAAAGGGATACAAACAGACACATAGGGGTGAGGTCTGGGAGAAGTCACAGCATCGAGCTTCCATGTCCCAAAGAGGGACATGCTACCCTCTCCCATGCATGGTGATCAGCAGGGGTGGATTAACCAGTAAGCAAGATATGCATGGTCTTAACTGTGTTTACTTACTAATCTGTAGTGCACAGTTTCACTTGGGCTTCACCACATCTTTGATGTGACAAAAAAAACAAGTGAAATTATGCAGTACAGATTAGTAAGTAAGCACAAAGAAGCCTGTGCCTACCTTATTTACTGGGTAATCCGTTCCTGCATCAACCATGAAACCCATCGGAGCCTTAGAGCTCAGGGTGCTTATTGGACTCCCAAGGTGGCCCTGATAGATTACATCATGCCTCCTGAGGCATAGTCAGCATTAAGCCTCTAGGTGTTCCCTCTTGGTCTGGTCAGCCCTGACTCATTGGCCTCAGGTGTTAGTCTTTCTAGACAGAAGTGAGAATAAAAGGTCAAATTGTTTTCAGCAAGGTGATTGCACACCTCGCACATACCTTAAACATTTCTAAAATTTTATGTAAGCATTTTATTTTAACTTAGAACATTATAGTTTACGTTTATTTGCCAATTGATGAGCATATATGTTTCCTACATAAACGACATCCATAATGAATTGTATAGAAGTAAGAGTTTTGGTTTCTTTAAAGTGGCAGGAAAGCCCAGACACTTGTGCAGCAGGTGGAATGCAGAATCATTTTTAACTCTAATCCTTTATAGTAGCCGTTCCCAATTGGGCAGCAGGTTTTGGTAATATACTGACCTTGTATCCAACAATCTTGATAAATTCACTTATTAATTCTAAAAGTATGTACATTTTAAAATTTCTCTATGTACAAGTCATGTAATATGCAAATAATGATAGTTATTCCTTTAAATTGTTTTGCCTTTTATTTATTTTTCTTGTCTTATTGTGCTGGTTAAGCTCTTCAGTACAATGAATGGAATTGGTATTCAGTGAATAGAATTGGTAGAGTGCATCTCTTTCTCATTTCTGATCTCAGAAAATTCTGAGGCTTTCACCATTGAGTATTACACTTTCTGTAAGATTTTGGTGCATAATTTTTCTCACATTAAATAAGTTCTCTTCTAATCTTAATTTGCTCAGTTTTTCTCATGAATGTGAGTAGAATTTTGCTAAATGTTTATTTTGAACATATTGATCTATTGAGTTTTATCCTTTTTTCTTTTCATATAGTTAAATAGATTGATTTCACAAATGTTAAACTGTTCATTAGTAGAATAAATCTTACTTTCTGTTGTCAGGTGCCGTCGAGTCAACTCCGACTCATAGCGACCCTATGTGCCATAGAATGAAACACTGCCCGGTCCTGTGCCATCCTCACAATCGTTCTTATGCTT